CGTTCCTTGCGACATGGATCTCGTATCTGGAGCTGTTTGCTCTACCGCGCAAGTCCGAGTACGCGACTCAGCTTGCGCTGCCCTCCCGGCGGGCCAGTAGCCACGGCAGCCGGCTGGGCACGGCCTCTGGCGAGGATGTCGAAGACGGCGAGGACGAGGACGAGGACGACGACGGCACCACGGCGGAGGCGACGGAGACAACCTCTTTGCTGCGCGGACAGCGCACCACCTTTGCCAACTACGTCCGGGTGACGGGTGACTACCTTCGCGATGACGGCGACGAGCCGCGCCAGCCCAACCTGTACGGCCACGAGCAGGCCTGGAGCATCCACCTGCCGAAATGGGTTTGGGTGCTGCAGTTTCTTCTGACCGCGCCGCTCGTTCTGACCTTCGTGGGACCTCTCGCGCTGCTGCTTACCTCCGCCCTGCGCCAGACCGGTCAGGACGGCAGCTCCTCGCTCTTTATTTACATTGCCGTCGCCGCGCTCACGACCCTGCTCTTCATACCGCTTCTCCCGTTTATCCACCGGTACACGCACCACATCCCGCTTTTCCTGCTGTGCGTCTTCGCCGGCACCCTGATCTACAACCTCGTTGCCTTCCCCTTCTCCCCGGCGAACCGGCTCAAGCTCTTCTTCATCCAGGAGGTCGACCTCGACACAGGCGTCAACCACGCCTCCCTAAGCGGCGCCTACCCCTTCGTCCATGACGTCGCCAGCTCCCTCCCCAGCACCGCCGGCCAAAACATCACCTGCGATTTGGACCTGCTCCGACCAAAGTGTTCCTGGCATGGGATTCCCCCGCAGGTAGTCCAGCCTGCCGAAGCATCAAAGATGAAAGACTGGCTCTCGTACAACATTACCAGATCTGACGCCGAGCCAAAAGCCCAGCTCAGCATCTCCGGCCGCAACACCCGCGCCTGCAAACTCGTCTTCGACAGACCTGTTCTGAGTTTCACGGTCGCGGACTCGGCGTATGACCCGCGCTTCCCACATGTGTCTCCGGATGGCACGAAGGAGATTCGACTCTGGAGTCGAGAGTGGGGACATACCTGGACTGTAGATGTTGAGTGGGCTGCAGACACTGAGGAAACCGATGAAAAAGGGCTCAGACTGAGTGGACGGGTAGTCTGCCTTTGGAGCGATGGGAATACGGCGGGGGTGATTCCAGCGCTGGACGAGGTGAGACGGTATGTTCCTGTCTGGGTAGGGGTGAGTAAATTGTCCGATGGGCTTGTGGAGGGGAGTCGACGTTTTGAGATATGATTGCGAGCGAAGCGAGCATGAAGACTCTCATGTAATTTGTGATTGCATCTACCTCTCTATATCTAATCGGTATTGCCTATCTACTACGAGTATGATTGTTGTATTGACTATTTACTATTGGGTATTAACTTCAGTCTGTTTGTAATAGTTGTATGATTCACTTTATCAAGTGAATATATAGTCAGTATGTTATGTACAGTATATGCGAGAAGCTGCCTTCAGCTAGCATAGTCTGGCTACGTCAGTGTCACTGTGGACTGTGGACTGGGGACTGTGGGCCTGTATTCAGGGGTGATGGATATGGTTCCAGGGTCGGGATGACGTGGTATCCAGGAACCATGGAACACAGCCAGTACTTGTGGAGAACATCAAGTATCCATGAATTGTTGAATTCCTCCGTATCATCCGCCACAATCAACTAGAATAAGGTAGTTGAGATGAGTAGCCGATATGATATGATATGATGATATGAATGACGTGATTCGTGACTCATTATTAGTTTGTTAAGGGGTCGAGACTCAATAGAGGTCAAGTTATCAACCCGGTTTATCAGGCGCCGGCGCTGACCCACTTATACTATTGTGCTGTTTATGCAGCGAACCCGTAAAATCTAGCGGACTCACGTCGCGCTGGGTCTCGCCGCTCCAGGACTGCGAGATCTCGGAGTGGCCGGTTCCCTGGTCGGGAAGCGAGGGGGGTGCATTCTCCGAGTGCTCGAACATGGCGATGGAGATGTCATCCGAGTCCATCCAGGGGTGGGAGCGGCGGCGAGCGTTTGCGGAGGATGATGCGGGGGGGATAGCGTGCGTGAGGTCGGATGTGACGCGGGTTGCGTCGACGAAGTCGGGGTAGTGGTATTCGGGGTGGGAGTAGCTGGCGGTGTGATGGATATAGTGCTGATGGTGGCAGTCGTCGATGGCGACGCCGATGGGGTCAGATTTCCAGACATGGTTGTGGACGAGGTAGACGAGTTTGCCGAGGACGGCGAACTCGAGCTTGAGCTTGATGCTGTAGATGACGCCCTTGAGCATGGTTTCCATGATGTATTTGTTCATGTATTCGACGACGAGCAGGCCGAGGTCCATGAGGATGATGATGAGGTTAATGGCGACGAGCTGGTACATGATCTTGCGCTTGCCGCGGTCCGGGTCGAGGCGCAGCATGCGGATGGTTTCCCAGATGTAGAGGGCGGAGATGATGAATTCCTGTATACAGAAGCCGGTCATCTGGATCTTTTCCATCACGTTGTAGCCGCGGATGTAGGCCGGGGCGTCGACGGGGCCGGCCATGTTGGAGCCGTAGGTCAGCACGGTGGTGGGGATGTGGAAGATGACGGCATCGACGAGGATCATGGTGAGGACGCGGCGCAGGATGCGTGGGTTGCGCAAGACCAGGTGCAGGCGTGAGTAGAGTACGATGGACTGGCCGGTGACCATGCACCACCAGCCGACGGTGATGAAGGTGACGGACAGCCAGGTCTGGTCGGTCAACTGGAAGAACTTGAGGAGGAAGCCGACCGAGTAGGGGAGGAGCCCAACGGACGAGGAGATGAGCAAGCTCCAGAAGTAGGTGCCATGATACTTGCTAAAGGTGACGAAGACGAGGATGACGAGCTCGATGGCATTGTACCAGGTGATTCCCGCCAGAGTCGCAATGGTGATTTTCAACGCCAGGCTATCGCCTGTATATCCCCCGGTAATGCCATCTCCAGGAGCTCGAGTCCCATGGAGCATGCTGTATCTAGGTGAGGGGGGTACGAGGCATGCTGTTGTTGTACTTGGGTTGAAGCCAGGAGTATGGAAGAGCGAAGAAAGGTGTACGGAGTAAAAGATCTGTCTGGGGGAAAAATGAAAATAGAGCAATCAGGTGAGGAAGGGTCAATCAATATAGTAATAAGTAATCTCTAATACGGAGTAGTACTAACAGCATTATTATTATTAGCGGAAGTATTTTAGACGTGGGGAGAAACCGGGGCTGTACACTACACCGTCGTATTATTATTATTATTATTATTATTATTATTATTATTATTGCGCTGTCACGGTGATTTATTATCTTGACACTACTCCGTATGTTAAAAAGAATGAGACCAATAAAAAAGACAAGTGATTGAATGAATGATATATCTACAGACCGATATACCCCGAAGCACGATAATATGACTGGTCGAGTCTATAGGGTCGTACTATCATACTACTCTTTTTTGACTTCAAGATCCGTGGATTTCTCGTCTCCACAACTGTCAATAGTTCATAGCCAAAATAAATCAGATGAGATCATGAGTCCATTCTGATCGACAGAGGGAAGAAAGAATCTCTGACTATGGAGTATCTACGACTCAGCTTACCGTTTGATCAGCGTTACTCAGCCAAGGGCAGATTTCCAATCCAACGTTGTTAGCTGTTGGCCAAGTTGGTTGTGATTGACTCGAATGTTCGGGCAATAAAACTACGCAGGACATCTTCGAAGTTCGAATGAGAGTGATAGTGTCGTGTCGTGTGCAATTCAACAGCATACTCCCCCTTGGGTATAGACTCCGTCGATCCCCTGATTCATTATTACTTGCCAAGTCACTAACCTGTGCTGGATCTCTCCACGAAGACCCTGGTTTGTCTCTGATCACTATCAGCCAGTCCAGTTTAGGATTGATTCTCGTCCTGAATCCTCCGGAATATCTCCGTATTCGAATTATTTACCTCAGTCATTGCGACTCTGCGAGTCTGTGTATTGATCGTTGCTGTCAAGTGGACCTCAAGCTAGCCCTCGTGGGTCGTCCATCGCAAAGGACACAGAAATGACCGTGCGAGTAATGACTTCATCTACGGAGTACTGGTCAACACCTATGTACCGACAACCTGAATCCTGACCAGTCGAAACTAGCCAACTTCCCGTCTTCATTTCATTGGGAACAGTCACTTCTGGGAATCATGCGGTGTGCTTGTGCCGACCTCTGCTTGTATGCATGCGCGATAGGTCTACCTGCTCTGTCTACTCAGACAAGCATATCACTTCTCTAGCTCTACCTTACCAACTCCAGTGCGAGAGTATAATGATTTACTCTGTGTTTTACTCAGAGTGGAAGGTTGATGATTGACATCATCGGCTGATCGTCCGTGTTGTTTCCTTAACTCCCCGAGGACACAAAGTCTAATCTTATGCCTGTAGTCTGGAGTCTGGACGTTACACGGCGAGGCCTCGAATAATATCATCAGATCTCTACCTTTTTGCTACTGTAGTGGGCTACTACCTAGTACCCAAGGATCATATCATTATCCCTTACTCCACACGGAGCCAAAACAGAAACATTCTCAACCTCAACCTCAATCTTAATATTAATCACCACCACGTGTAGGCGCAAGGAGTCTCATATTGAATATTAATGAATGCTACGTCTCCTTGCTCGATAGTCAATGCTGCCTCGGCTTCAACTTGGCAGTTTTGGCACCGACAGTAACGGTAACCTCCGCGAGGATCGCCGAATCCTTCTCCTGTCTTAGTTCGTACTGCTAGTAAGTAGTAACATGAGAAACACCGGAGATCAAACTGTCGGAGTTTGTTTCATTAAACAGATGGTATCTCTATGCTTTTACTTCATTACCCCTGACTGAGCAGCCCAAACTCCAGCCTAAACAAAACCATAACGCCTTGCCATATGATATATCCCCGTCGCAATCACTTCCAACTCCGGAATTCACCCAAGCCAAACCAAGAAACAAAGGAAAAAACCCCCTTTCCTTACTGCTCAGTATCAACCCTGGCTCCCCCCGTAGCAGCAAGCACCCTCTCCACCTCCCCCCGACACTCCGGCATCGCACTCCTCATCTCCCTAGCAAGCACATCCCGGAAACTCGCAAACGCCTCCTTCTTCCCCTTCAGATCCTGGTTCCCGCGCTGCACCAGCTCCACGAACTCCCGCGTGTAGATGTCCGGGTTGCGCGCTGCGTCCACATAGTCGATTATCTCGGGGGGCAGTTGGATGTCGCGGAGGAGGGGGTCGTTTGCACTTCCTTCGGGGGTGTCGTCCTGCTTTTCCTTCTGCTCTTCGTCTTGCGACGGGGGCTGCGGTTTGGTGTGTGTTGAGAGGGTGGAGAGCGCGAGGGTGAGGTTTTTGCTGTTGCATCCATTTGCATCAGTATCAATCATCCATTTGATGAGGGACGGTGAAGAAAAGAATTACATTTTCCTGACGAGCTCGGTCTGAGTCTCTGGGCCTAGGTAGCCGTGGACGGCGGATTGGATCTCGAAGAGGTGTTGGATTACCTCCTTGAGGTCGTCTGTATTCGGTCAGAAACATTAACCTGATAGTAAGTGTGTAGCGTACCATCCACGGTGCTTAATGTGATTGGGGCCATTGGTGTGTATAGTGGTTAGGATGGACATGGATTTATTTGACTTCACTGTACTTTTGTAATGACCAGGAGGCGGACAGCTACTGGCGGGGCGGCACTAACCCTTTGTGGTAATTTCACCACCACTGCTTCAATGTACTCAAGACTCAAACTACAGGGACAAATGAAGCTAATTGGTTGAGGCTGATATGTTCATTTAATTCAATATGTATATATGATATTAATTAGGCCATAGGCCAACTGCCAATGCCAATGCCAATGCCAAAGGCAAGCCAAGTCTACGCACAATTACACCTCCTTGGTCCTCAGACCTGCAAACTTCGGTATCTCAATCTCCGTTTCGACCATCTCCAGTCCAGACAGACTGGGAAACCGCCGGCTGAAGCTGGCCTCCCAGTCCTCGCCCGGGTCGCTCGGTGTCGCCTGTGCCGTTGGACTGCGCTCCTCGCCCGAGGACCGACCCAGGTCGGGCCCACCCACACGAAGCCCTTTCGGCTTGGGAGGCGCCATTGGCCGCGATCCCGTGCGTGCGGTCTCCTGCCTGGAAGCGCTCGCCGGTCTTGCAGTCTGCTGTTCTTGAGCCAAGTACGTGGCTCCGCTTCGTGTGCCTGGCCGCGACTCCGGTCGGCCTTCCGTCTGCTTCGCCTGCAAAGCAGCAGCACTCGACTCGTCTGTGTACCGCCCGTAGCCCGTCGCCGTCTTCTGAGGTGGAGGCTTGTTGCTCTGCCCAAGCAGTGTCTGCACCCTGCTCTTAATCGCCGACGACCTGGGCCCGTCGGTTCCCACCACTCGGGCCCCTCCCTCTCCTTGTTCCGCAACCCGGCGCCGGTACTCGGCCGCTGCCGCCGCCACTCGCTTCTCCTCCTGCGAAAGCCGCCGGCGCTCGAGCTCGCGCCGCATCTCCGGGGATATATCCTCGCTGCTCTCCTCGCCACTCGAACCGGCCGCGTAGTTGGGCACTTCCGATGTTGTCACAGAAGGCAATGGCTTCGCGGCGTCCTCTGCGGTGGGAGACGGCGATTTGTCCTGATTGCTCTGTTCGAAGCGGCGGAATGCGTCGCCGAATCGACCTGCAAACAACGTCTTGGTGCCGGAAAGCGACAGCGTGGAAAGACTCGTGCGCTTACTGTGCTTGTGGCTGCCACTGTACCGCTTCTCGCGCTTCCGGTTGAGTTCCTCTTCCCTGGCACGCAAGAAGTCCACATCCGACGAGATATTGGCCCGTTCGGACATGTCCATGTCGGTGCGCGCGTGCTGCAGCGGCGCGCCACCTTCGTACATCGGTCTGCTCAAATCCAGAGACGACCGAGCGCTCTCGGACCCCCGCGAGAACTCCAGCCTTGATCCGGTATGGACAGAGACCGGGCGCGCCTTGCCGTTGGCCGACTTGGACCGGCCTACGGGAACATCGACGTCCAGGTTCGGTCGCGCCCCATCCAACGAGGGCCGTGACGACGCTGATGACAGTGAGGACGACTTGTCGAAGGAGGTCTTGGGGTGTGGCTCCGGTCTCGTCGATAGGGTTGGAGGCGACGGCGCCTTGTTCGGTCTCACAGACTTCTGATCTGCCTCAGCCAACCAAGACGGATTGGACGGCTGGCGGTGATGATCCGACGAAGGGAACCTGTAAATATTACGGCTGGATGGTTTGATCTCTCCTGGCGTGGATGGAGGCGATGTCATTGTCCCAGTCGACACCATGGTGGGTCGCTGGGGAACAGGCTGGTACAATGGAGCCTGCTGTGACGGCTGCTCTTGGACATGTCGCGGTGGCTCGACAGGCTTTGTCTCCACTGAGGACGTCTGAGGTCGCTGGCTGATCGGTCGTTCTTCATTCTGCGGCTTTGCAAAGGCGTCGTCCGCAAGAGCATTCGTGAGTCTCCGCGCAAGATCTTCATCTTCCGACTTCTTCTCTACCACAGTCGGCTCAAAGTCAAACTTGTCCTTTTCCTCGTTCAGAATCTGGAACTGATCAAGCGACGGGAAGCGATTCGAAAACTCCTCGATGGAGTTTCGCGACTTGTGGCCACTGCCGTCCAGAGCAGCAAAGGGGTCTGTAGAAGAACCAGCGCGGAAGGGAGACGGGCTCGGTTTCGCCGAGTTGTGTTGAGAATGATCCGGTCTGGTCGGACGTCCTCGACGCATCGGCGCAATTTCCGGAATAATTTGTGTTTCCTGGATAGGTGGAGAGAACACCGCTCCCACTTGAGGTGCTTCCACCGGGGAGGGGGGAAGTTCCTGATAACGACGAGATTCCGAGATAGAGCGATTGGCATATATCTAGGGTGGAAAAGACGTGAGATTCTTGAATCCGCTTGTGGGTAGAGCAGACTGCTTACATCGCGAATAGGAACTTCCTTTCCTTGCATGCTGCATACCTCGCGCAGTACCTCATAGATAGTAGGACGCTTCTGTGGATTCTCCTTCAACATCCATGCTACTTGCTGTCAGTATTCGCATAATCCAACACACGTGGCAACTCACCGATGAGCGCTTTCAGACGATCCGAGAATGGGGGATATGAATGGAACTTGTAGCTCGCATTCAGAATCGCCATTTGGCCGACCTCTTCGAACGGAGTAGTGTAATAGCACAGCTTGTATAACAAAACTCCTAGCGCCCAGATATCACTCTTCTCGTCGATCGGCTGTTTGCGGTAGACGTCAATCATCTCGGGGCTTCGATACTGCAGTGTCGTGTGTCGTTGAACGTCATCCTCAATCAAACGACCCTCCGCAGCCGAAGTCGCAGCCGGACGAGGTGGAGCCGCAGAGCCAAAGTCGCAGAGTTTATAGAGAGGGGTATTTCCCTGGAAGGAGATGAGGACGTTCTCGACCTTGAGATCGCGGTGCAGCAAAGGGGGTTTGAGATAGTGCATGCAGGCCACCCCCTCCGCCACATCCGAAAAGATCTTGATGATCTCCGGCTCTGTCAGCCGGTTCTGCAACCGTGTGTTCATAAAATCAATCAGACCTCCTCCGGAGCAAAACTCCATGAGCAGAAACACCTCGTACCCGCCTCCTCTCAGCTGGGACGCATGGGAATCGATGTACTTGACGATGTGCCGGTGTCCTTTGAGTTTCTTCATTGTCTCGACCTCCGTCCGCATATTCGCCAATGCAGCCTTATCGGGGACCGCAACTCGCTTCAACACTGCCCGATCGGAGCCATCGACGGGCTGGGAGAGTCGCACGACGTAAACATGGGCAAAACCACCCTCGGAGAGGTATTTCTCAACCACAACTCGATGGCTTCCGACTTGAACCTTGGTTCCTGGTAGGAAGGTACCTGCTGGAGCAGTCACAGCCGCAACTGGATTGAAGGTCTGGATAGGCCGGGGAGGAGCGGCGTGAGACTGGTAGGTTTGGGTAGGGGGATGATAGGAGGACATGATGGACTGTGAGCCCTCGGAAGGGCGAGTGTCGATACGGCCAAACTGCGTAATCTACCGTCGCTGCATAGAGGAGGGAGAGAAGGACACAATGAGAGAAATAGTTCTTGGTTCAGCGTGGAAGCAGACCAGTCTACAATGAGGACAGTTGGCGGGGAGGCGGAGAAGCGATGTGAGGCGGTACCTGACTGCCCCCACTGGAAAAAGGGGAGTGATTCGATAGGGTGTACTCTGTGGTAAGAAGTGTAGGAGGGTCAAGAGAATATGGAGATGCTGACAAGTAAATCTTGGTCCAAGTGAACCTCGACTGACCAGCAGCAGCAATGCCAGTAAGTAACTAACAGCACTCCGTAGTAAACTACAGTCCTCCGTAGGTACATAGGCAGCGGTGATGATGGCGGAGGATCAATCTAACCGTTTTGAGAGGTTGGTTGGTAGGCGGCTCCCATTTCCCCGACCGCCACGACCCATCATTATCTACAACGTTCTAGTTGAGCTTCTCGAGTTGGTGTTATATCTCTGAACCATCTCTCCCTACGTGTTTCCAGTTGGACGTTTCTCGTCTATCATATGAATTGAAGAGCCCTTGTAGGAGGTAGATTTACTGACAGTGTCTTGCACTTCTCGTGATCATCAGGCACCGTCGCCTGTTGATCATGGGATTCCCCGGCCATCTTCCGACCGACCCCGATGATGCTAACTTCACCTCGACCATAGTCCACGTTCCTTAACTGATCAATGGTAGAGGATATCTGCCCACTGGGGATCCCAATGGCATGCCATATTCTCGAGATCACTCAATGCTCCACGGCTTATAAGCTTCGAGTGAGAGTCGAATGGTCAAGTGTTTGCATTGAACGCTTTTCAAGGCAGGATAGGGGTTCAAGCAGAACATACACAGATCTCTGCTTGGATATCTGACTAGTGCCATGAAAATCCCCAACAAAACCCACTCCGGAGGAGATTGCTTAGGACTGAGGAAAACGAGCATCGAGAAGAGGCATACGGAGTACCTTCTCCAGCCCGTCCATGCAGGCATAATATTATGTAAGCTATTTTTATACGTAATTATATGCAGTTATGTTCAACCAATCAACAACCAGTAATGAAAGACGAACCATCGCCAAATGGAGGAAATTCAAAACAAACAAAGGCGTGGCACCGTCACTGACGAGTGACGACTGCCAAAGAATGCGCCAACTGTAAGAACGGGCACATTCTTCGGAGAATGCTCTGGTTAAGCTTGATTGTAAAAGTTGTTAAATCAGAGACATGAGAATTCTTTGAAGAGTTTATTCAGAGTTGAATCTCGATAAAGAAATCATGGATGGCATTGTGGTACACTAATGGAGCGGTTACTTGGTCATATTATAATAATTCCGTCCAGAATCTTAGTTTTAGACTGCACACCGATGAAGAGGTCTTTAATGATTGTTCAGATTCAATAACTTGAAGGATCACTATCTCATTCTCAATTTCTCAGTGTGTGTAGAGAAAAGTGCAGTGGCGAATCAGTACTCTGTTTCAAATGAGTTGAAAATTATCAGATCTATATATCGCAAGAGTCATATATACAAGCACTCCCCAGGTCGTCCATGCGTCAACAAGTATCTGTCAATCATAAACATAAGATAACCATTCTTCTCTCCGTTACACGAGTCTCAACGGTCCTTCGAGTTTGATGAATTAATTGGCAATAACCTGCCAACATTACGTATGTAGTATCAATCTACCAATCCTTTGGCTGCCGCTGATCAATCACACCTTTCCACAGCCTCCTCACCATTGCCGCCTGGTCTTTTCCCTCTCCATCCCACTTCCATCCTCACCCACATCGATTCCATAGTCTCCCAGCTGTTCTTTTGGGATAACCTCGGAGCGCAAAAAGCTGGCTTTTAGTTTATCATAGTATATCATGTAAGTGGTACTTCGTTTGCAATCGTGCCCACAATCCATTTCGGACGCTGACAACGGCTTTCCAGAAGCAGGTCAAGCGCTGGAGGCCACAACGCCTCAGTGCCGTCTCAATGATTCTGAGAATATGAACAAATCGTCGATTACGTCTATGCCTTCAGCCTGCCAACAATACAAGAACACATTCAAAACCAAGCCCACTAGACTGCTGCGAACGGGTCTTTCTCATCAATAACAAGTGTCAACAGCGTTCGGTATCCTGACCTCAGTCGCGGCAATCCAAAGACTTGCTCAAGGGCCAGCGCTGTAGTCCAAACACCATAAGGATTGACAATGGACGGCCCTCCGCCGCCTCCACCGCCTCACGGCGAGAATCCGAACACGACTCACGGATTCAAGAAAGGCTCCGGTCTTCCGGATGGAAACTATGATATCTTTATCATCCCACCTCATTCCTCGGGCTCTGGTTTTCTATACCTTCCCTCGCTACAGACTCACCGGAATAGCTTCCTGGCCGGCGCTGTGTCCGCACTAGCGGTGGTTTACATCTGGCAGACACTGTCTCCCATTGTGAAGGCATGGTATCTTGCTACAGCTGCCAATGGTGGCGGAATGGGAGTTGCGGTCCTATTGGCCATCGTTGGCATTGCGGGATGGGGGTTTGGTGCATACCAAGCACATATAGCCGGTGCAAACCGAGACTCCGGAGGAAGCTCTCAATCCCGCCAGTCTGGGCCAGGGGCCCCTGGGGGACCTGGTGGAGCTGGGTTTGGAGGACATGGAGCTGCCGGCGGTGGCGGCTCTTACCATCAGTCTTCAGGTGCAGGCCCTGGCCCGGACTATTCGAGAGGGCCCAATTTCGGTGGCCCTAATCCAGGGCCGCAAGGGGCTTACGGCAGTGGGGGTAACTATGGAGCCGGCCCCGGCCCAGGAGGCCCGTATCCTGGGAATCAGTATGGCGCTGGCACCGCGCACCCACCACCGAATGCCGGGACCCCACCCCATACACCTCCTCCGAATGCCGACCCGGGCCCGGAGAAAGCAGAGCCGACTTCTGGCAGGAGCGAAAGCAAAAGTAAGAGCGGCGAAGATTGGGAACGAGCTCGTGAAGAAACGAGGCGGAAGGAGGAGCTCAAGCGGAAGATGGAAGAATTCAAACGAAAGAGGGAAGCCGAAGCACGAGAAAAGCAGAAGCAGCGGGAACGCGAGGCCATGGAGAGGGAGCTTCGAGAGCGCAGAGAGCAGCTCGAGAGAGAGATGGCCGAGGCAAAGGAGAAAGCCGAAAGGGAAGCGAGGGAGCGAGCTGAAAAGGAGGCGGCAGAAGCTAGAGCAAAGATCGAGCGCGAACTTGCCGAAGCGAAAGCTAAGGCTGAGCGTGAGGCAGCCGAGGCCAGAGAAAGGGCCGAGCGAGAGGCTGCAGAAGCCAAGACAAAGGCAGAGCGCGAAGCAGCTGAGGCTCGAGCTCAAAGACTTGCTGCTTTGGCCAAGGAAAGAGAGGCTAGAGCCAAAGCCAAAGCCGAAAAAGAGGCCGCAGAAGCAAAAGCCAAGGCCGAGAAGGAGGCCGCTGAGAAAGAGGCTGCCGCAAAGGCCGCCGCTAAAAAGGAAGCCGATGCCAAATTCGCCGCGCTCAAGGAAGCTGCTGCGAAGAAGTATGCCGAAAAGAAGGCCAAAGATGCCCAGGAAGCAGCAGCTAAAGAGGAGACAGCGGCGAAAGCAGCAAGCAACAAATCCCCAACGGGGTCAACGGCTCCCAGGACCCCGTCTCCAAAAAAGCCAGCGTATACGGGCAGTGCTCGGACACCAACAACTGCGGACGAAGATGATGCCTATTCCTTCCGGCCATACGACCGACCCCGCCGACCCTATGCGGGTACATCAGGATCCTCGGTCTATTCTGAATCTTCCTATGCTCCTTCGCAGTCGACAGCTCGGACGACTCCGCCACCTTCAACCAGAGGCGCCTACTCGACCAAAGATCCGGACAAGATTGTCATCCGAGGCGTTTATGCCTTCAATAACGCCTTCCTGCGAAGTCCTGTGGCGCAGTTGGTCTCTGGCCAAGGGATGGTGACCGATGGACTGGTGTTGCGCATCACTACCGAGGGACTCTTCATTGACGACGACATCCGAGGTGTACCTCAGCGCGAATGGGATGTCAAGGCCTGGACCATGAAACTGGTGGAGGTGTGGTGTCCCCAGTATGGAGCGACGGCGCAAGGCCGTCCAAACCCTAAGCCCGCCAACGTGTTCTTCCGGCGGAGCACCAATGAACCAACGCCGGAGGAGTCAGACGCGAATCTTGTGAACTTTCTGAAGGTGTGCAAGAACAAGTGCCGACTGGCAGCACCTGACGCGGAGGAGCATGGAGGGCTGCATGTCCTCCGGGCCAGCATCCGCGACCAGGAAGGTCGCCGTTATGTCTTCGTTCTGCAGGAGACTGAAGGGTGGAAGGTTGCCGTGGGCCTGCAGCGTCTGCGCAAGGGCACACAGGCCAGAGCACTGGGTGTGTTGGGCATGGCCGGAAATGAATGCCGGACGCTGCTGGGGAACCTTGGTTATGTTGCATAGTCTTTGCTATTGAGCGATCTATTGAGCGATCTATCCGTTGTGTTTTCATTATCGTTCTCCATCCACTCATCATTGCATATTCGACAGCACATTCGTTATGAATACCCCAAGATTCCCCTCATGATTTTTAGTTATGATCGAATTGTACTGTTTCTATTTCTTAATGACCTTGTTAGTGAGATCCTCGTTTATCTGCATATAGGGTGTACATAATTGAGCATCCATTCATACAAAAAAACCTATTTATCCTTGTAGATAGTTGGTAGCGGGTGACGTTATGTCTTGAGGTGACGCATCCACGTGCTCACCTTCAACCTCGTCAGCCTTCTACTTACCTTCATAACCATCATCATCGCATCGTATGCCGCATCACAGCTCCATCATTGAATAGACCAAACCGCTCGTCTTCTCATTTCATCATGTCGTAATCTACAATCTGTATGCAAGTTACCAACGCTCTTCTGCGAGCTTCTTGCCATTATCCGCTCTACAATCCTCCAAATTAATACTCGAGAAAGAATCAATCTAAAACGGTATCATGTCCGAGATCGGTCCTTCAGACCATCACCATGACTCTGCATCTACCTATCAACCGTCAATGCTAGACGAGGATCAATCTCATAGCGCAGCTCCCCTCTTACCCAAGTCTGATGATTATGAGACCGCATCAGCAGACGGGATGAAAGAGCTCGAAATGGGAGATGTCAAGAATCTCAGCCCGAGCCCGAGCCCCAGGCCAGGTTCGACTTTCATGGTTGACGATGAATGGACCCCAAGGTTCAAGCGGAGCCATACTCGAACCAGAAGCGTCAGACGGACCTGTCTGCTGTTCCTTCTCAAGGCTGTTCTAGCCGTTTGGTTGAGTGTAATGCTTTACAACGTCATTCGGTATTGTGCGAAGGTAAGTCTGCCTGCATCTATGATCGTAAACACTACTGACTGACTGCAGCAGTCGCCCAAAACTGGTGATCTCCCAGACACCAGCAGCAGCACCAGCGACGGGGGTAGCCCCGCGTCTACACCTACATCCAATGACCGGAGAATAACAATCGACTCCAACACCGGGAACATACACGGCGTGTACCCCCTCTACGACTCCCTATCCCTCACCACAACAACAGGTAACATCACCGTAGCCATCGCCCCGCAGCCCGCACACCCAGACCACCCATTCGAGCCAGCGCGGCTGCACATCCGCTCCCTCTCGGGGACAGTCACCATCTCATTCACCGCGCCAGAGGCAGCCGTCCTCCCGGACCTCGAACTAGCCATGGAGCTGGAGCTGGAGCTGCACCAGGATGATAACGACTCACTGCCACATACCGAGATCATGAAAACCTGCGATCTACCGGCCCGGCCGTACGAGCTCGACATACAGACAGAATCGGGCCCCATTGCTGGTCGAATGGTCTTTTCGCGCTCTGCGCGGCTGGTTTCGGGCGGCGGGGACATCACTGCCATGCTTATTCCGGTTATTGGTGGTGTTGGCGAGGATTGTACCACGGAGATGTGGCGGAATGTGTCGATCGTGACGGAGGCGGGGGCCGGTGAGCAGCGGATTCATGTTACGGAGCCATATGTCTTGCGCTCCAAGGCTGGGGATGACGCTGAGGCCAATTACTTTGTGGCGGGGTGTCATGTTGCGGGGAACGGGGGCATGGAGGTTGCCTATCCGGCTGCTTGGGCTGGGAATGTGCATGTGCGTACTGAAGGTGGGAGTGTAAGGCTCGAGGGGGAGGGCGTGGAAGTTGCGGAGTCGGGAGAGGGGATGGTTGATGCGCTGGTTGGGACGGGGAGGATCAGTAATGATGAGGAAGACGAAGACGATGATGACGATGACGACGATGACGATGAGGAAAGTGATGATGCTGAGGATGATGATGACATTGAGGAAGACAACGACGATGACGACGACGAAAGACGACTAGGAGGATGGATGGACGTAACCTTCAGATCCAAGGAGGGGTCAATCCTGTTCTATGTTGGGTAAATGGATTCGACAGCCAGAAAAGTCTTCGTTTGGAAGTGCGAATGAACCAGCAATGGCATATTCATGTCTATTAGACACAACCCAATAAGTGATCGACCATGGAAAATATGTCATTCATATCAAAAGGAAGCATCATCATGCCCCATCAAAATCAGTAACCGTACATGGAGTATATAACGCCTTACAATGACTTCCGCCACGCCTCAAATCAAATGATCTGCTTCTGCTCGAATCCCACTCATACGTGGCAAGCCAATGAAACAAAACGACAAAGAACCTCGACCCGCATCCATCAGGCCGATAAAAGTGGGAAACAAAAGGGACGCCAATCTATCGCATCAGGCATCAGGAGCAGTCCGAAACCATCAATGCAATGCACCCAGGAAACATTTTGAAAGACGACACACGTATGCATGGAGCGGCCAGTTATGCACATGAAAGAGGCAAGACCAAAGCAGAAGACTTCTATCGTCGTTGTGGTATCAATCACATCGCTTCACGACCTTTTCCATCTATCGTGGTTGAAACTGTCGGGTTGAGTCTGAGTTTAGAAAGGGAATCCACCAGGGAAGCCCTGAGACTGGTGGTGGCCGCCGAAGGGATGGCCACCGGCCGAGGCGAATCCTCCGCCGCCGTTCATCATGTTGAAGAGAACGCTGGGATCGATGTTGATGTGAGTGGCACCACCCATGCCGCCCATGCCGCCCATACCACCGAAGCCACGGCCGGCAAACATTTCAGCAGGGTCAATGAGATCATCGCCATTGTCGTAGGCAGCGCGCTTCCTATATGATGTTAGAATCTACCAGTACCATCAAGCCGACGGGAAACTTACTGAGGGTCGATCAAAGTCTCGTAGGCCTCTCCAATCTCCTTGAACTTCTCGTCACCGGCCTCACCATCCCGGTTCTTGTCGGGGTGGTACTGGATGGCGAGTTTGCGATAGGCCTTCTTAATCTCCGACTCAGATGCATCCTTGGAGACACCAAGAATCTTGTAGTAGTCCTTCCGTTGAGCCTTCTTCAGCTCAAACTCTGCGCGGCGAATGTCCTCCTGAATGCCCTTCTCACCGGGGTTGGCCTCTGCCACCGCCTTGTAGTCGCGGATGGCCTCTTCCCAATTGCCGGCGCCACCGTAGGCCTTGGCGCGCATCTTCTGCGCCTTGACGTACGAGGGGTCCAATTTCAGGGCCTCATTGCAGTCGTTGATGGCGTTCTCGTATTCCTTCAGGTTAATGTATGCCTGAGCTCGGTTCTGCAGAATCTTGGAATTCATGTCCTTGTTCTGAGGGTCCACCTCGAGCGCTTCGGACCACAGCTCGATAGCCTTGCGGTAATCCTTGGCCTTGAAAGCATTGTTTCCTTCCTCTTTGGTGCGAGTAAGCTTCTGGACAGTGCGCAGCAACTTGATCGCCGGTTTCATGTCCGGATCCAGACCCAGACACATCTTGAGCGTTTTCAAAGCTTGTTCGGATTCTCCCAAGCCGTAGTACGCACGAGCACGGATCATAAGGGCATCGGGGTCCTGGTTGTTCTCGCGGAGCATAGAAATGGCGATATCCTGCGCTTTCCTCAACGAGTTTTCATTACCCATCTTCAGTTGTGCTTCGGCAGTCAGGAGAGTCCACTTGCGGGGTTCCTTGACTCCACGGCCCAGCAGCTGCCGTGCCTGCTCAATGCAGAATAGCACCATCGACACACCTCGATCTTCCGCCAAGGTTTCCTCGGCTTGTTTGATGAAGCGCTGCATCTTTTCAGGAGCGGCACGGTCGGTCGCAGAGGCGGGGGGCTGAACACGGGATAAAACCTCGAGAGCCTCGGACGGACGTCCCAACGCAGTCAGAATGCGGGCCAGGCGATACATGATCTTGGAGTTGTCGGGATCCAGCTCCAGTGCGCGCTCGGCATCTTCTAAAGCTTCGAGGTAGCGGTTGGCAGAGAGATATGCCGCAGCCCGGTTGGAGAGGTAGATGGAGGAACTGGGGTTGATTTCAATGGCTAACCAATTAGCCTTGTGGGATACTTTAGATACGAAAATGCATACTCACCTTTGGTGAACTCTTCAATTGCGCGATTGTAATTTCCGTCCTTGAAAAATTTATTGCCCGCCAATTTGAATGAGTCGGCTTCGGCGACCGAGCCATTGGACTTGTGCGGCGGCGGGGTAGGAGTCCGCTCAGTCTGAACGCCGTTCACACCATTGGTGTTCTGGGAAGGAGAGGCAGGCGAATCGATATCCATTGAACTTCGATCGGCGGCAGAAGCCATGGCGGATAAACGACGTAGCTCGTCGGGGTGAAGATTCAAAGGATGAAAGTCGGGATCGCTGGAGTAACGATCGAAGGTGGAGGATAGCCGGGAGGTAGGGAAACTGAACCTCGCAGCGGAGGCGTCCTTGGACGAGGAAGATTTGGATTTAGCGGAGGTCTGAGATCTCGACTTGGATTTGGACGATCTCGAGGAGTGAGAGGACGGTGGATGAATGGATGATGAGGAAGAGGAACGGGAGTCGGCGGTGGGTGTGGAGGGAGAGCGAAGATGAGGATGATGACTGGGGGTGTGGCGAGACGAAGAAGTCGAAGTCGAGGAAGACCGAGAAGGAAGAGTCTCCGTCGATAGAGGAGGACTTTTTGGCGATGAAGTCTTCTTCGAATCCTCTTTGGATGAAGTGGATCGCTTGGATTTGTGACGGGCAAAGAGTTGAGGAAGAACCATCTCTTTTTCTTCTTACGGCGTTTTCCTGTTCTGGTCTTTTTTCTGGTTATAAAAAACTGCAGTCGCTGATTGGCTGAGGGTATCGAATGTCAGCGAAGGCGGTGGAAATGTTTATCTTGATATTCTTCCGCTGGTATACTGGTGAGAGCAGGCGATAGTGAATAATATAGAGATGCGGAGGATGAGATCAAGAAGAATATTGGATATCCAAAATCAATTCACGGTGCGTTCACAAGATCGTGAATGGGACGTGGTTAGGAGGAGAAGGATGCCATAATAGAAAATGTTGATGCTGCTGATGCTGAAGTCATGTGCTCTCAAGTACTGTGTTACCTTGTTGTATAGCAGAGAAGTGAGAGCTGTCAATTCATCAACAATCTTAACGAAGAACGAAGTTTAATATATTAATGAATGACTTGTTATCTTCTCTGATCATCCTCTCAGATTATATCTATCTATCTTGTGATCAATCCTCCACCCCGTTCACTTAGCCTCAGAGAGAAAACCAGGAGGCTGGTAAAAGTGATCAAGTGCTGCTGCTTGCTTAGCGTGCATTTGTGGAAGCTCGTCGATTCTTCCGTGGACGGGACAGAAGTACTGGCGTTTAGCTATGGTTCTGACGTAGGTAGAGTCAGTCCATCTACGAAGTCCTCGAGATGAAGAGCCTAGACAGGTCCGACGTTGTCCCTTTACTATGGATAAAACAGAAGGTATTCCATCTTCCATTGCATGAAAATTGATGAACCATCTGCAAGTCAAAGACGATCTAGACTATCTACTATCTAGATAGTGTTTGACAGCAGTTGAAGCATTGACTACTGGCGAATCACCCACTGGCCCAAGCGCCCACAAGCGAGTCCTAGGTCGACACGTACCCGATCCTGCGGCTTCGGTGGGTGAACCCAAGGGTTTGGAATGGAGCACGGCATCATTGTTAACACTCAGATTTGACCGACATTTCGAATCAAAATAAATCATTCCCTGGACCCTCCAGGTCCCCAGTCCGCTCTTTGGCTTATGGCCCCGTCTCCACCGCTGCCGGAGAGTCGTTCGGAGTTGCTGGTCCATTCTCGACACTGAGATTCAGTTCGTCCAATATGAGATGCTGCTCTGCTTTGCGAATGGCTTCAGCCACTTCTAATTTCAGTAGCATCTCTTGCTTCGAGAGCTTGATCATCTGTGGTGTAATAATCGCTGTGTGGTAATCGCGCGCCAGCTCTCTCACGGTTACGCGGACCATACGAGTGATTTTGCCCTCGGTCTCTTTTAATATGCTGGATAGCGCTTCAGATACTTGTTGGGCACTCTTTTCCAGGATTTGTGCTCCATTCACGTCGGCTTCACGTTCCATGAGTGCTTGCATCCGTTTGAGCATCCCAGTCCCTTACTTCGTCAGGTCACGATACGCATAAAAGATCAAAGGACATACCGGCCTCGTTTGCGCACTGCCAGAACGTTCCTTCAAGCTCTGCCGCAATCGCTCCAACGAACAATCGGTTCGCAGTCTTCTGGCGTTTTCTGAGGGACGCCTCGGTCTTTTTGAGCTGGTGTTTCAAGGAGGCGGTGGCCGTGCCTAGCGTTTTCTGCAGCTTTGCATTGTTCCGTCGCGCGATACTCTCATCTGCAGATGAAACTACGCTCTTGTGGAAGATATGCAGGCATGTTTTGGTATTCAGGGAAAAGATCTCGAGATGCAGTGGGATCTCTTCGTTGAACGTCCTAATGCGAAGTCAGCGGTTGATCGTCTTCATGGTATTCGAGATCTGACCTGATCCAGTAGGAGCGGATATAATCCAGCATGGTGTGGGCCCTGTGGACAGTTCAGTCTCCTTGTTCATAACAATGTGCTTCGAGCATTACTTACACCTCGCTGTTCCAATTCTGACTGACAGTTAGCATTTCATGGCTATTTGGCGGGGGTAACCTACATAGCCTTTCCAGACCCCGCTACGACGGCATATCGCTCGGTAGGTGCTCCAATGCACATCTTTATTCCAATCCGCGACTACTTCCCTAAATCCCTTACTGCCATGCTGACAAGCATTTTCTATTCCATTAGTCCAAGGCGGAGCGTGTATGTGGTCGCCACTTACCAAGTTTCTGCAAGATGTTTCTTGCAAAAGTCCTGCGCAGGCTAGCAAAGAGTTGATCTTGCAATTCTTGCATTCCCTGAGATTGTCAGCTTGCTGTCAATGGGTGAGCAAAGAAAACTTGCCTCCTCCATCTTTGTCACCACTTCTTTAAATCCAGCCTCCATCTCCTGCTTCTTTGCATCCGACAGGACATGAGCTGAACCGGTCACCGAGGACCAAAGCGACATTGACTGCAATAATTTCTTCAACTCGATTAGAAAGAGCTTACTTGACGCCTCTCGTGGACCTTCCGTCAAACGGATACAGTGAGCTTGCAATTGGGGTATCTCAGTTTGCTCCAACTCGGTGAACCCGGCCACTTGGGGCTCGTTCCTCTGAAGCCGACCTTGGAGCTTCTGATATGCCTTGGTTGAGACACAAAAAACAGGAAGGTCCCCCTCGAATTCACTCTTGCCATGCAGGATCCTGTTGTCATTTTCGCGATTCAAGTGCTGAAAGTGCCTGGTGATCTCTTTCCTGGAATAGTTGTTGCGTGCCCGGATGGAAGTTTGGATATTGCTCACGTTCTTCTGGGCCAGATCAACTGAGAGCCTCTCCAACTGTTCTCCCTTGACCTTTCTCTGTTGAATGAGGGAGTTGCGACGTTTGCGAAGTTCCGATTTTCGTGCCTTGAGTTCACGAAGGATCTCCTCTTTTGACCCTAGGGTTGGAGTTTGGACAGCTTGAGAACTCTCAGGCGTGCCTGCTGCACACACGGAAGCTTGACTGACTGGGATTTCAGAGAAAATGCTTTCCGCATCGCTGTTCCATCTTCTCTTGAGGGGTGATGGCTGTGGATAGTCTGTCGAATCGTCTTCCAGGCTGTCGATGCGATCTTGAGTCTCATTTAGTAAACCCTCGACTCTCGCCTTTTCCTCGTCGAGCATTTGCACCTCGGTCGACAAATCATACTTCTCTTTCTCCTCTCGATCAAATGACGGGCTTTCGAGCCCCAGACCCGTTTGGACTTCAGTGACAGAAATATCATCGGTCTTCGTGCAGATGAATGTTAAACTATCGCATATGCAATCGAAGATCATCTGCGACTTGAGATGCTTGTTGACCAACGACTGGGCGATCTTATCATCCACAGCTCTGTTGATGGGCGCTACGATCCAGTGGGCCGCACAGCGCTTCAGATAGTCGTCTGCGACAGCGACACGAGCAGCGTTTGAGTCGTACAGGCCAGGAAGATCCACCAGGACCGCGCCTGTTGCTAGCGCCTGGGCTTTGACGTACAGATAGACTCTCTTGATAAGCGGCCAGAGACCTGCGTCCCCTCGCGCTGTTCCGCTCTTGCTGTCAATGTAGGGCTTGAGCTTGTCTGCAAAGATCCGAGTGTCGTCTTCCTCGATCAAGAGCGAGGATCCCAGCAGGTTCGCGATGCGCGGGTGGCCAAGCAGCCTTTCCATCGTGGTATCTGCGAGATTCCCGTAATCCAGTTCAGGATATACAGCCTTGATTTTCTCCCTGGTTGTCTTGATGGCGTTTATATCCGGATTCTCGTCCAGCATCTCATGGCACATGATCTCCAGCTCTCGCTTCCACTCCTCAGGCTGGATAAACTGAACCTCCGCTTTGTATCGCCGAGGGCCATCATTATAAGCAACCTCGGTGGCAACCGCCGTGGCGGCCCGCATACAGTTCGTTGCCAGTATCCCCTTCTCATCAATGATCGCATTGATGAGGGACGATTTGCCGGCGCCCGTGGCCCCGAGCACCCCAATCACGACTTTCGGTTTTCTAGCAGATTCGAGCAGCTCGCTGATAGCGTCCCGCCAGTCCGTATCCGCAGTCGAGACATGGGGCTGGTTGAAAACGCCGAGGAGTTCACCGAGCACAGTCTTGCCTTTCTCTACGGCCGCTTCCAGAGCAGAAACAGGAACGGTCATGTCGTTACGTGCCTGGCATTCTCCGCTCCGCTCCATTTGGCCATCGACTCTCTCGTCGGCATCATTGACATTCAGTGTCTCATAGCACATGGCCAGCTCCGAAGGAAAGGTGGACTCCATTCCTACGATCGGCAGTCAGATCAGTCTGGGGACGAGCTGGTAGCAGAAGACCTACCTTGGTGCTGATCTTGCTCATGATGACCATGCTGGGGGCTTTGTTCAGCTGGAACCTGGAACTCTGCTTGCTGCTGCTGCATACTGCCAGTGATAGTAGTGTTCATATTGTTGTAAATGTATTCCGTAGACGTAGATGTAGATGTAGCTATAGCTGCAGCTGTAGACACAGGTGAGATAGGGTTATAGAGTGCACGTGCTTCAGCAGATAGCTTAGATTAGCTGGATATAGATGTAGTAACACATTGATCATCATGCATTATGATTCATGTCCTCTTTATCTAGTGAATTGTAACGTAGGGGTAGTACACGTAGTGACTATCATAGTTCTAGGGAGTTCCACAAAGAATGGATGGTGAATAATCCACTTATGGAAGTGAAGTTAGTGAATACAGAGATCATCAGGATTTGCAAATTGTTGTAGGTTACCTATGGATGCCCTGGTCTGGAGGTGACCAGAATACCATGCTTCTGTCTAGTAGTATCTATCATGTAGGGTTGTCACTATGGATTGATTGCACGGTGAGTCCATTTCACTCTCAGAAACTATGCTCTTAATCTGCTAACTATCCATCTGCTTCAGTCTCTTCCTGCAGCCATACTCTTTTCTTGGATCTTTGCATGTCTCTTTCCTTGAAAATACCTCGGTCTTCTCCCGATTTGTGTACTTGTCATTTCAGTAGGGACTGCCTAGCTTAGGAAGTTCGACCTTGCTCTTTTCACCTCTGGTTGCTCTCCCAATAACCTTAAGAAGGATAGGAAAGGACTTCCTCGCAGCCATTTCCCAGTCCCTGCGTCTTCGGATATAGACATGCCACCTGATATGGTTCAGTATGGTGGTTGTAGGATGGTTGTGTTGATTCTTCTTTAGACCCATGAATGACATACCGTACCCAATCACCTGACGCCCGATATCACCTGACGCCTGATTTTCATCTATACACCGACTTTTTAGATAGATTTTAAACGACCACAACACCATCAATATGGAATCAATTGAGGCAGCTCTTGCAGAAATAAAATCCCTGGAACTAGGAGAAAGAATAAATTATGCAAAAATTGCGAGAAAGCATGGGGTTAGCCCTTCAACATTGTCAAGGCGCCACCGCGGTGTACAAGGGTCTCGTCAGGATCAGTACGAAAATCAACGAATTCTCAACAACCAACAGTCGAAGACGCTTATTAAATGGATTAATGACCTCACTGAGCGTGGCCTGCCACCATCTCATTCAATGTTGCGAAATTTTGCAAAGGAAATTACTGGAATTATGCCTGGAAAATGTTGGCCAAACCGCTTCCTAGAGAGACATCAAGATAAGCTTGTTTCTCACTATACTACTGGGATTGATTCTTCATGCAAAAGGGCTGATTCTGCCTACAAGTACGCTTTATACTTTGAGCTTATGGCGAGAAAGATTGAGGAATATGGCATTGAACCAAGAGATATGTACAATATGGATAAGAAAGGTTTTCTTATTAGAGTACTATCAAAAGGCAAAAGAATCTTCTCACAACACTGGTATGAGAAGGGAGGAAGCCAACAACGACTTCAAGATGGGAATAGGGAGTGGATTACTACCATAGCCTGTATTTGTGCAGATGGGATATCTCTTTCACCTGGTCTGATTTACCAGGCAGTCTCTGGAGATATTCGAGATACATGGCTGCAGGATTTTGATCATAATGATTACTACTGCTTTTTCTAGTCATCAGCTACTGGATGGACAAATGACAGCCTGGGATATGCGTGGCTTACCTCAATTTTTGATCGTGAAACAAAGGAGAAAGCTCGGAGACATTGGCGGCTCTTAATTCTTGATGGCCATGGCTCCCATGTCAGCATGAAGTTTATTAACTTCTGCGATGCAAATAGAATCCTTTTGGCTATTTATCCACCTCATTCAACACACAGTTTACAACCTCTTGACGTCAGTCTTTTTGGTCCCCTTTCTCGGGCCTACAGTGACGAATTGGAGAGATTTATGCATGAATGTCAAGGAATAAGCCATATCACAAAGCGGGATTTCTTCAGATTATTTTGGCCAAGCTGGAATAAGGCTTTTTCAATTGAAAATATCAACAGTGCATGGAAATCAGTTGGTCTACATCCTTGGAACCCAAAGGTTGTTTTGGCACGCTTCACCAGAAAAGAGAGCGAAAGACCCTCTTCTAGTGAGTCATCACAGTCTATTTTAAAGGCAGAAGACTGGCGTCGCATTGAAAAGCTTCTAAAGCAAGCTGTTTCTGATGTTTATGATCAGAAGGTCCGGAAATTGAATGACACAATGATGCATCTTTCTACAGAGAACATTCTTCTCAAACTACGATGTACAGGCTTGGAAAATGCTCTACGAAATGAGCAGAAGAAGCGACAGCGTGGGAAGCCTTTACAGCTTCAGCTTCAAGCACCAGAAGATGGTAATGCCATCTTTTACAGCCTTAAGAAGGTTCAACAAGCGCAGGATCTTCAAGCAGAGAAGGAGGAAGCTGCACGCATTGCTAAGGCCGCCAAAGAGGAAGATAAGATACATCAGCAGCAGGAGAAAGAAGAGAAAATACGCTTGATTAAAGAACAAAAGAGAATAAGGGCTTATAATAAGAGTCTACGAATGCAGGAAGCGGAGGAAAAGAGACGCCAGAAAGAGGAGGAGAAAGCTGCAAAACAAGCTTCTCTACAGCTTCAAAATAATGTCAAACAGGCTAATAAAGGTAAGAAAAAGTGTACCGAGTCTACTACGGAAAAGAAAAAGAATAATACCTATAGGAAAAGTGAGGAAGAAGTGGAAGAGGCACCTGTTACTGTAAATAGTCGAGGAAGGCAAATACGGCTTCCGCAGCGATTCTGAAACACCAAAAATTAGCTAAACAACCTCTCTGGACTTGTTATTTGGTTCCATTAAAAATACTAATCATTTTATGTTCTAGTTGTGGCTGTATAGCTTCATTTCTGCACTCGTAGTTGACCCGAAAATCAGGCGCCAGGTGATAGCGGGCGTCAGGTGATCGGGGACGGTAAGCTGGCACAACTAACGTAATCCACAACCGAGCGAGCCACCCGAACATGATTCTGCCCGCAGTCAACTATAAGATATCTTAGTACTACGGAATCAAACCAAAGCAAAAAGTCTTTGAACATTTGAATTATCTAGGTCTACTAGGACAGCTTGTTCTAATATGACCAATTTGATGGCAATTGCTACATCGTGGTGGCGCACGCTTCTTAGGAACTGGTTCCATCACCTGTATAGCTTCTTGGGCAAGTTGCTGGCCTTTAGCACCTATCAGAACACCTCCAGTAGCAATAAAAGATCTAGGGGTTGCGCGCTTTCACTTCTGCTTCTCATTTGCTGCGCGCAGCCCTTTTATCTCCTGATATAGGAGAAGGACCTTGTGCATAGTAGATTCAGCTGCCTTTGCAAGCTGACGGATAGCCTCAGTTAGAGGACTTTGGGAGTTGCGCTGAATAAGCTGCTTAATAAGCTCCATCTGCCTTTGCACCTCAGTAGTAGTATAAGGTGTCTTTGCAGTCCATTCAATATCTGCAGGTCCATAAGCAGTACTAGGGGGCGTGATATTCTTGATAGTAAGCTTATCTAGTACCCTTTGGGGGTCCAAAGGAACTAAACCAGAAGCTGCAAATCCACTGCGGATATTCTTTGATGATAAGGCCTTTCTTGATTCTCTATAAAGATCAAGAAAGTTTTCCTTGTCAATGTGATGAATGCCATTTTGAATGCTTCTCCTCACCTCTATCCCATATGCCTCCTTTAGGGGTGCAAAAGGGGTGCAAAGCAGCCAACATCAAGAGGTTGCAGTTTATCAGATGAATGAGAAGGCATATAAAGAGGGATGATTTGATGATTCTTGCAGAAAAGATCAAACTCTGCTGATTCATGGCTAGCATGGCCATCAAGAATCAAAAGCCGATATTTCCCAATCGTACAAGCCATAGTATGCTTTTCAAAGACCTTTTCCAACCATAAAACTCCAAGGTCATTATTCGTCCACCCATTATCACTCAGGCCGATTAGCCAGTCAGGGTTGATATCTTAATACCATTGAGATTGGTGGACCTTGCCAGAGAAGATGATCATAGGGGGGAGAGGCCATCCAGAGGCATTGATGCATTCAATGACAGTGACCCATTCGCGATTCCCTGGCTGTATAGCTCGTACGCGGCTTATTCAATGACGGGATGCAGTAATGACCTTTGCTATATAGGCTACACCTATTTGAAAGCCAGTCTCATCAAAGTTGTAGATATCTTGTTCAAGAATACCATATTTTACTATGGTATTCTTAACAAGATTAAACCATTGGTTGATGACTTCTAGGTCCTCACATTTCGCACGCTGGTAATCATATTTGCAGGTATATTTTGATATAAGATCATCATGCCGTTTGATAAAGTTGCTGACCCAGTTCTTTCCAGTAGATAGGCCTGGATTCCGATGAGATAGTAAGATATCCGCCATTTTGCGTACAGTATCCTGAGTTGGTGGTAGGCCGCGCTCATCCATATCCAGAATCCATTTCTTTAAAGAACCCTCTTCTAGACTGCTAAGCTTCTGGCAGTTGGCTGGTATATCAACCCGTGCTTTGCGGCCGCTAATTCGATGTGTAAGAGTAGATCGAGGAACATCATATGCTGCTGCTGCTGCTCGTATGCTTTTAAACTAGCCATTTTGGTATGCTTTGACTGCAAGAGATATGCGATCTTCTAATTTAACAGTTGAATCAGGTTGTTTTGATGTCATATTGGATGGAAAATTAGGTTTGATGATGATCCAATGGATGCAAGGTTTCAGGGGTTCTGAGGTGGCTCGCTCGGTTGTGGATTACGTTAAGTTAACTAAGCCTTCTTGACAAGCCAAGAACTTCGCCGAACACACATCGACGTCATCCTTGATTGAATCTTTCTTCATCCACCACTGCATATAGAGGATACATGATGTTGGACTAGTTCTGTCTTCGTTGTCGATTGTATAATATTACACTTTCTGTCTTCAAGTTCCAGTTTCGTCTTGCACGGAAAAAAAAATAGAACGAAAGATTTTCGACTGCAGGACGCATAGACCGGCAAGATGGCTTCACGAGAGCGACCACCCCCTTCAACTGCATCTACCACCACAATGCGGCCTCCAACGACAGCTCTTCTTATCTATCCAGTGACCTTACTTGTGGGATCGCTCTTTTCCATCCTTTCTCCCACAGCCCGAGGCTCCCGACAAAGCCGTTACGCGCGTCCCGCTTCTCTGGCCCCCTCCATCGCCGCCAACGTGAACCTTCCCCCTCCAAACCCGGTCAACTACTTCGCCCGCAAGGACAACATCTTCAATGTCTACTTTGTCAAGGTCGGCTGGATCTGGACCACACTCGCCTTTCTGTCCCTGCTCGTCTCCCAACCCGCCTACACTGCCCCTTCCGCTCACCAACCGCGCCGACTCGCCCAGGCCGCCCTCCGATACAGCCTGGCTACGCTAGTGTGGTACCTAATGACACAATGGTTCTTCGGGCCCCCAATTATTGACCGCAGTTTTGTGATTACGGGCGGGAAATGCGAGCGCGTTGTGGCGGAGACGTCGGGGAATCCGGCGGTGGCTGTTGCGCAGGCGGGATCTGTTTCTGCGGGTCTGGAAAAGATGTTTACGGCGGCAGCTTGTAAGGCGGCTGGGGGGTCGTGGACGGGGGGCCATGATGTGAGTGGGCATGTGTTTATGCTTGTGCTTGCGACGTCGATGCTGGTTTTTGAGGCTGTGGGGGCGATGAGGGCTGTTTCTGTGGGGGCGGAGGCTGATAAGAAGGTGGATGGAGAGGTTGATGGTCAGAGTGAGGGTGAGAAGGTTCAAGTTCAGAGTGAGGAGGAGCAGGGGGGTTGGATACGGACTTGGTCTTTACGGTTGGTTGGGGCTGTTGTGGGTTTGGGATGGTGGATGCTGTTCATGACTTCGATCTGGTTCCACACGTGGTTGGAAAAGGTATGTTTTGTTATCCGGGAAGAGAGGTCATGCATTGCTAATGGCGTAGTGGTCTGGGCTGTTGATTGCTCTTGGGACGGTCTACGTTGTATACGTCTTGCCGTTGAGCGTGCCGTCGTGGAGGGATATCGTTGGAATTCCCGGAGTATAGGAATGACGATACGAATGCATGCTAGACTTTGTGTACGAGTAGGGACTTCTTTTCATTTCGTTCTGTGCATCGGCATGTATACTCTGAATGCAACCGTGTATATCACTTTTTTTGCCTTACCTATTTTTCTGGACACTCCGGCTCAGGACCCAGATACCCGCTGCGAAAGGCTGCACCTGCTGTCAGTTTCCCCATGTTCTTTTCCGGCTGTTGTTACTCACCTCCAGGAATCAACGCCGCGGCATACATGATCCGGGTGATGGGCCGCAGATCGTCTGGCGTTACGTCGGTTGCGAGAGACAGCTCCATGTACGGATCCCAGGCCGCGATGATGGCATCGGCATACACCTTGAGGTCGACCGAGCGATCTTTCTCAGTGGTCTGTTCCGCCTGGCACTGGATGCCCATACACGTCCCGAACTCGCGAAACGCCAGCCGGTACTTGATATTGCGTTCGAGGTAGCGGTTGATCTCAAACAGATCATCTGTGTCCATCAGCTTCATCCTCCAAACAGCAAAGACACGAAAATACAAATCTGCTCAAAGCACCGCCCCGCCAACCTCGCCGCCCAGTCCTCCTTCTCCGAGAACCAATGCGCCGTCCACAGCGTCATCCCCAGGTCCAGCGGATCACTCGACACAAAATGCTGCCCCTTCCGCTCCATCACGCGCTTATAGTCCGCAATCTCCTCGGCCAGCACCGCCCCTCCACCCGCCTGCTTCGCCGCCCCCTGCAGCAGCCGAAACACCACATACCCATCGATGGGATCCAGATTCCCCTCGGAAGCCACCAGCGGCGCCGACAAATCCATCGCCATCTTCCAGACCATCCGCGGGCGCGCCGACTCGCGATTCACAAAGAACCGCGGGTGGATCGCCTTGGCCAGCGCCACCGCCTGCTCGTTGTACGCCGGGTCCCCCGTCGCCAGCGACAGCCGGTTCAGCGCAAACATCCACACCGTCAGGTAATGGTGGTACTGGCCGTCCGCGTCCGGGCCGCGCTCGTCCATCTTCCCGATGCGCAGCCCGCCGCCGAGCGGGTTCTCCGCCGTTGCGCCGGGCAGCCGCGCCTTGCCGTCGCGTGTGGAGCCCAGGACTTCATGCACGGTCTCCACGACGCGCCGCGCGAGGACAAGGTACCGATCGTCGGGCGCTTGGGCCGCCTTCGCCAGCGACTTCTCGTATTCGCGGTGCATGGTTATCAGGGTGAGAACGCCGAAGGCGTCGGTCCAGAGGTAGCGGCCGCGGTGACCGCCGGAATTGGGGGGCGGGGTCCAGGCGGAGGGGTCTGGGATGGAGGAGAAGCTGCCGTAGAGGGATTCGACGGCTTGTTGGAAGCGGTCGAGGCGCGGGGAGGGGCTGCTTAAGGGGGTGGCCATTGTGAGGGTGCGATTTTGGGCTTTTGTTGTTATTGTTAGTGCTCTAGCTAATGATAGGGATCTAAATCTGGGCAAGACTCTGCGGAGATTATTCATTGCTTATTGCGAGGGATTTGGATTATTATCTACAGGGGTACACGGTATAATAATGCGTTGTTTGAGGTCCTTGGTACCATATGCTGCGGTGAAGTCATGATGAGAGAGAGCTGACGAGGAGGTGATTTCATTCGCCGCTGGCCACCACTAGTATTAAGTATTTGAGTATTTAGTAGTCGAGGCGCATATCCGACTCCTTAGCCATCGACGATGACCTGATTAATGCAGTTTGTTCAACGATTCTTTAACTCTCGGCCCATGATGGCGCAACTCCAGCAACTTTTCACCGAGGCAGCCCAGCCGCTGCCGCCCATTTCGGACCCCAGCTTCGGCTCGCATTTTGATAACTTTGGAAATTACAAGGTCGTCCTACTGGGCGACGGCAGCCATGGCACGTCGGAATTCTACGCCGCGCGCGCGGAGATAACCAAGCGGCTCATCGAGCAGCATGGCTACACGATGGTGGCCCTCGAGGCGGACTGGCCTGACGCCGAGGCCATCGATCGCTACGTCCGCCAGCGTCCCGGCCCCAAGGCGGGCATTGGCGGCAAGGCCCGCGACCTGGAGCCCTTCAAACGCTTTCCCACCTGGATGTGGCGCAACCGCGAGATGCAGGATCTCGTCGAGTGGATGCGCGACCGCAACTCCAAACTGCCCGACGAGAAGAAGGCCGGGATCTACGGCTTGGACCTCTACAGCATGGGCGCGTCGATCCGTGCCGTCATCGATTACCTGGACCGCGTGGATCCACCCGCCGGCAAGGAGGCTCGCCGCCGGTACGGCTGCCTCCAGCCCTGGGTGGACGAACCGTCCGCCTACGGGCTGGCCTCGCTCCGCGGGATGGAGGACTGCGAGAGCGGGGTGCTGCAGATGCTGCGCGACCTGCTGGACAAGCGGCTGCAATACGCGCAGCACGATGTGCGTGACGGGGAGGAGTTCCACAGCGGCGAGCAGAATGCGTTTGTCGTCCGCGACGCGGAACGGTACTACAAGGCCATGTACTACAGTTCCGCCTCCTCGTGGACCCTGCGCGACACGCACATGTTTGATACTCTGCGGCGGCTGTTCCGGCACAAGCCCGCTGACGCCAAGGCCATCGTCTGGGCGCACAACTCGCACTGCGGCGATGCGCGCTATACCAGCATGGGCACGCGCCGCAACGAGGTCAATATCGGCCAGTTGATCCGAGAGAATTTTGGCCGTGAGAATGTCGCAATCCTCGGATGTGGCACGCATACTGGCACCGTGGCCGCCGCCCACGAATGGGACGACGATATGCAGGTGATGAAGGTGCGGCCGTCTCGAGACGACAGCTGGGAGATCATCGCCCACGATACGGGGATCCCCAGCTTTGTGATTGATCTGCGCAAGGAACACCTCGATCCTGCTTTGCGTACGGCGATGGCCGCTGAAAATACTCGACTGGAGCGGTTCATTGGGGTCATCTATCGTCCGGACACGGAGCGTGTCTCGCACTACTCGCAGGCGTATCTCCACAACCAATTTGACGCGTATATCTGGTTCGACGTTACTGAAGCCGTCAAGCCACTGGAGAAGGTGCAACCAAAGACTCCTTTGGGACAGGACGAGACCTATCCATTTGGCTTATAGTGTGTATCTACCAAAGGCAACTAGACTGTCTGTTAGTACTGTGGTTAGTGATCCAAAGTTCAAAATGATTTGTAGTCAGAAGATAGTCAGCCGAGAACAATATCTACAAGTACAGATTATGATCGACTGATTCTTGCATCATGTCATGTCATGCTATGATAGATGGTGGCAATGGTGATGATATGATAGTGTGGTGTTGTGGGAGACGTAGCAACTGACGTCAAAAAAAGCTCACCGCCTGCGTTTTGTTGTTTTGTTTACACTCTTGCTTCCAGAATAGCTTCGTCTCCCTTGCGCCCTCAGCTATCCATCCCTTTCCTCGGATACGTATCCTACGTATACTCCTTTCTTACCTTTTGGTTCCATCCGTCATTCTTTTTAAGCATTGTATCCATCGCGGATTCCTGTTGTTGGATCTCCCTTCTTTATATCCACAATCATGGCGGTTCGCCGTTCCGCCCGCCTCAGAGGCCAAAAGACGTCAGCAGAGGTGGGAACCCCTCTTGGCAATTGTGACGCGCTGAAGCTGTCGAAACTGTCTACCAACGGTCTCTGAAGCTAGATGCCCTTACGTCCAATAGTACTGACAACCCTCGCTTCTCACTGTAGGAACCGCAGTCTCAATCTGAGACACTCAATGACAACACCAACGAAAGTCTCGGCCAAAACACCACAAACAAAGACGGGAGCAAGAAGAGAAAGAAGCTTCCCGCTGTGATGGAACGCGACGAAGGCGGCGATGTCGAAACTCATACAACCACTAAAACGCCCACCAAATCCATCCAGACTCCAACCAAGCCATCCAGTGTCAAAACAACCCTCCCCTCTAGTGCGAAGAAATCGATCGGAGCAAAGACCCCAACTAGCGCCATAACCCGTCCATCCCATGACGAGATGCATCCGAGCAAGGTTCACCAGAGTACCACGAAGCAAGCGGACTCGGGTCTGATCCTGGGTTTCAACCCTGTCAAGAAAGATGCCAATGGAAACGTGGTGAGGGAAACCGTGGCCATCGATACTCCCAGCAAAGCCAAGGCCTCCCCCTTGAGCCAGTACGGCACTCCCGGTTTCGAGTTCAAATTTGCCTGCCAAGAGTCTCAGCTCAGCGATGAGGCAAAGAAACTCATGGAGAGTGTGCGTGAGGATGTCGCCAAGATCAAGGCCCAAATGGTTCTGGAAAAAGATAAGCAAGATGCTGCGGATCGTGGTGCCGAGGGACTAAATGGTAAAGACCGCCGCATTGCACAGCCCAAGGGCAAGGCCGGCCGCTTTAGCAGCGCTCATATGGCGGAGTTCAAGAAGATGGACTCCATCGCCAACCATCCCTCCGCGTTCCGTGCTGCGCCAGGCCGCTTCCAGCCAGTTGGGACGGCACTCAAGCGGACCAACTCGAAAGCGGGCTTTGACGAAGCTGACTCCAGGCGCCAGTCGCCTCCCAAGTCGACGGCGAAGCCTTCTCCTGCCCCAGCCGCGCCAAGTGCGAAACGTGTCAAGCATGACAAGACCGACGACGTTTCGACTCGGCGTCCGACCACTGAGGCAGACAAGACCCCCAAGACGACTCTTCCGCGTCCTAGGTCTGCTGTTCGCAGTTCCTTGATGACCCCCACGCGAGCCTTTGCTGCACGCACCTCATCCGTCAGCCTCAAACCACCTCGGACCAGCATGATCCCTTCGCTGGCACGTTCTCCGGTCTCGAAGCCTGCTGGCATCCCACGCACTCCCCAGACCGATTTCAACCCACGTATCAAGAGCAACTTGCCCACACTGGGTGGTCTCAAATCCATACTTCGCCGTCATCAGCCCTTATTCTCCCACGACCCTACGAAGATCGCTGCAGGCACTCATGTGGCCGCTCCGGACTTCACCTCCAACTTCCTTCTGGGGGCATCTCGTGAGCCTTCAGTGTCTGAAGAGCCCGCTCCGACGCCTTCGCCCAAGAAGCGGGTCGAGTTTACTCCCACCACCAAGTCTCCAGTCGCCAAAGTCGACAGCGAGCTGGACCAGCCCTCTCCTTCTCCATCTAAGACCACAGTGTCTGTTTCCAAGACCACGTCGGACATTGTGTATCCCACCTTGCCCGTCCTGACACCGGAGAAGACCTCTGCCGCTGGTATCAGATCCAGTCAGGATGGCACTCCAACCATCCGTCATGTCCGCCCATCGAATGTCAACACTCAGTCGATCGCTCTTCCCGACGTTGCTGGTATGCCGCACGGAATGGGCAATAAGAAGCCTACCACCTTACCGGACATTGCTGGTGTGCCCCATGGCATTGGTAACAAGAAGAGACACCGCGCGACTGAGGACGAAGCGGACACCGAGAATGTGCCTCCTGCGGAGTCCACTTCAGATCCTCGCAGTGCTAAGAGACTCAAATTCAGCGCTCCATCTCCTGCAAAGGCCCCTCCCGCCCTCAGCCCTACCAAGGCCCGTACTCACACCCCTGTCCGCACTTCCTCGATCTCCAGCAGTACAGGTACACCCGCCAGCGCCAGAGCGAAAAGCCGAGGCGTTCTCAGCATCAGTCGCCTGAACATGCTCGCTCAGCCCAAGCACCGTCGCTGAGGGATGACTGCATGTATCCTGTTTAACGAATGTTCTAATCATGCATAGATAGCCATGCTCATTTACCATTCACCCCTTTGAAACCTCTACAGTGGTTACGATCGTACAGTCGCATTGCGGTCTAGTGTATCTATGTTTCTCATTCAGTGGTCTGCTTTTTTGTCCCTCTTCGTTTCATATGAGGCGCTTGGATTGCATTTGACTGGGACTATGAACCGGCGTATGACGGTGTCTGTTTTTCCTTTTCTACGAATTTTCTGGATGTGGCTGATTGATTCTGATTGAAAGTATGATAGCCACCAGCTCAGGCTCAGACTGTTTCTTCTTCCTTTTTTGTCTGTACGGGTACGAGAATGGAATTCCTGAGTTCAAGGTCTACGGACCGATACCGTTGACTTCTTTGCTCTGTCAATGTAGGAAAAGATGAACCATAATGCGATCGTAAAACCCATGAAGATGTTGTTTGTATATGTACAGAACAGTTTTGAGTAAGAGTACAGGGAATTAGAAGGCTCTAGATAAAAGGAAGAAAAAGGGACAAATCATCATAGTGAAACAAACAGGAAAGGAAAAAGAGAGAAGAGTTCACTTCAGTCCCATGTGTCGTCGTGTCTATCCTCCGTGTTCTCGTGTCTCGTCTCGTCTTAAGGTATCTAGACCCTTCCAAAGCAAGCCAGCCCAACGCCAGTAGAAAGAAATAAAGTGGAAGGAGCCAAGCCAACAGC